TGCCACCATCGTCTGACACAAAATGACAGCACAGTGAGGAGATGCAACTCATGCTATCTAAACAACACCCCCGCCTGATGCCTGGAAATAGCAATTAATTACTCAGCTAATTTAAAGCAGCACCATGCTTGTCCTAAACAGCGGAATAATAGGACTAAACACATTAGAAGAATGAGCAAGCTTAAAATATCTCCACAATGCATACATAACACTATACACTGATGGATCCCTTTGCAGAGGCACACGTTTCTTCAATTTACGAGTAGCAGTCAGTAGCCTAATAAAATGGACAACACTGTATTTCTGCAGATTTAACTCAAATATACTCCACTATTCTCACTGTCAACTCAGTGGCAGCATATTCATAACACACTCACATCAATGACCCGAAACATCATAACTTAACAAACTGCTTGTGTGAAACTCAGGGAAAATATTGCCAGTAGACTGAAAAAAGGAGAGATCAGAGTACGATACTGTACTTTATGAGCACCATTCGGTAACATTGGTGTACTAGTGTTCGCCATTGCTAGCAAATGTGGTAATGATTAGCAAAATGGGAAGTGATTACCTTTTTTCTTTAAATAGAAACTAAAAATATGACAGGACAGTAAAGTATACAATCATGCAGAAAGTAACAAAATTGATTTAGAGGAAAGCAACCAGAGGCTACAGAAAGAAAGAAGCGCAAAAAACATAAAACAAATTGTTAACCTTGAGGGTAAAAAAAAACCAACTTCTATTTAAGAAGAGTTCAACTCCAAGAGTACAGCTGCTGTTCTTCCTCTTATAATGGTCACCGTGATGAAGATAACCTGAGGCTTATTAAAAGATTCATTCCATACGCACACAGCAGTGATCTCTTTTTATCATCCGCCTTCCTACTCAAAGTACAAGCTCACACGAGGCGTACGGGCTCTCGTTTGAAACTTCATCTCGAAATTAAGCCTCACTCATCTCTTCGCTTCGCCTGAGGTGCGAAAAACCAGTGAGTGAGAAATGGTGCAGAGCAGAATCAAAGTGAAAGAAGCACAGTGTAAAGATGCAAAGAAAGAAAAAGCTGAAGAGTGATGACAGATGGAGGACTGGAAAGAGAACAGTTAGAGAGATTTTAAGTGAGCCTTTTAGGAAAAGCCAATGCACCAACAAGCTGGGCATGTGTTGGATAAAGTTGTAGTTAAAGTGGACAGATGAATACACTGAAAGACTAAGAAATGCAAAGTAATACACAGTAAAGGAGGTGAAGGTTAGCTTTCGCCTTCAAACGTTTCCTTTCATTCTTTATCTACTCAGTCACTACTCTGACACTGTTAAACGCAGGGTACAAGTTAAAACTATATGGAAATTTTCCTGTCAAAGGGCAAGGTTTTCACCAGACAGCCGAAGCAATTTTCATACACAGACACTCAGACTGCTGAAGTCGAAATAATTGTGAGGAAAAAGATGTACTCAGAGAGGCAAAACCACAGAAGTGGGGTAGGTACACTTACCCCAACCTCTACGTGATCCGAGCCCTTGTCATCCTGCTTGTGGAGAATCTCAAAGTAGTATCGTCTGGATGAGATCAGACTAGAGGGGAAACAAGGAAAGAGCAATTATTATTATTAGATATTGAACATTACCATATAT